AGGCTTTGAATATGTGTTTAGGGTATGTAGAGGTGTGTGTGGTTTCTTTAATCAGAAAACAAACATAACTCTTGGGTACATAACATGCTGTTTGCTCAAATTAATAATTTATAGACTGCAAAAAATGGCTCATCAGATCAACCCCAAAAAAATTCTTCATGTAGTAGCAAGAAATTGATCTAGTTTTATTTAACTCAAAAAATTGCTTTAATTGAAAAAAAATGTTCATTCAAAGTATTTTTTTAGGTTGAATAAAACTAGTTAATTTACTTGTTACCACAAGTAATTTTTTTAGGTTGATCTGATGAGCTATTTTTTACAGTGTACAGGACTCAGTGTTAATTAAACAATCTGGATAATATAGTGAGATTTCTTTTACTAATTATATTAATAATCGGTGCTGAGATATAAAGCTTAAGGTGAATTTGGTACTACAGTAAAGATTCCAACAGAGGGCGCTGTAAACACACACTGTGATAACACACTTGGCAAACTGAGTCATTAACTGGAGACTAGCTTGTCTGTTAGCATATTGCTAATATATTAACACAATTATACAATTAAGCAATGATATTTATTTATATTGTCCATTAAGACAAAAGGAATGAGCAGATCTTCTGACTCTGTATCTGATCATCAGTGGAGCCTCTCCTGGATCCTCTGAACATTCCGGCTCTGCCGCCTCATCATCCACAAACCTGCTGCTTGTTGTGTTAGTTTGGCTCTGGTTCTGTTGTTGGTGGTTCTCCTGTAATTCTTAGCTGTGTTTCCAAGTGAGCCTCATTAGATCTTCACCTGCATTTGTTTGTTGATGACTGGTTGATGGATTTGTTTGCATTTTGCTTGTCGGTCTAGTTTATGATCCCCGCCTCTCAATGTACCAAAACAAACAAACAAACAAACAAACAAACAAAAAAACAATAAACAAACAGATAAGAAAAAAAGCAATGCTAATAAATAAAGAGCCGTGTGGGAGCACTTATTGGTCAGCTGAACCAAGTGATGTGACTTTAGAGCCGGAATGTCCATCACTAGTGTAGAACCTCCATGTTGCTGTGAGCTTTGAGTGCCAACTAATTGACATTTTTTTCTGAATAGGTTTCCAGTACTTTCTGGGTAATGTATAAAAAATGGTACAGCCTGCTCAACTATAACCTCCTCTGAAAGAAGAAGGGAGTTTCAACACTCTGTGTTTACTACACTTGTGTGTTTCATATGAAAAACACCTGAAAAGTCTCTTCACTTTTAACTACAATGTTCTTTTTGTTTCCCTCTCAGAACTTCAAGTCTACAGAGAAACAGTGAGTAAATGTCAGATCACACATTTTATCTAATGTTAAAGTCATTATTACATTTAAATCTACAGTATATTGTATTTATTGTAAATATGAGTGTATTATAATGTAATGTAGGTGAATAAGGATTGTGTGTTAATGTTGTAGTGATGAGAACAGTAGCAGAAATATTTATTTAACAGAAACAACAGAATTATTGACTCGAGACAATAAATGTCATAAAATATTGATATTTAGTCAAATAAATTACAGGCTGTAAAGTTTCTACAGTGATATATTTCACACAGTCTTCTATTTTCAGAGCTCAGCTCACACCAAAGGATCCAGAGAAGACATCAGGAGCTCTGATCAATGTAGTGAAACACCTTTCCAACCTGAAGTTCAGAGTGTGGGAGAACATGCAGGAGATTCTCCAGTACAGTAAGTTCTGTTTCTCTTAGGGTTGATCTCTCACACACAGTCTGCTTCTGCAGTAATGACACACTGTTTATAAACTATTAGTAACATGTTATCATGTTCTCTTTATTCAGGGTGTAAAAAGGACACTGAAACTGTACTTAAGTGAAAGTATGAATACTGTACTGTGAGAAATCTAAAATGTGAAGTATGGAGATAAAAAATATACTCCAGTGAAAGGAAGAAAAATCAATGTTTACACACACTCAAATAAATCACACTAAAAAGTTAATGGGTTAATGGTGTTTTAGATGTAATTAGTATTATTATTATTTTCTTTTTATATTTAAGCGTAATTTTATGTCAAATCTTTTCTAGTCTTTGCAATTGTGTTATTAATCGAAGTACAACACTAAAACCACTTTTTTATTAAAAATGGAGGCATTTATTAATTCATATCTTAATGATCAAATAGAAACACTTTCTATTTGATATCAATTTTGTTGATTTATTAAGTTGTTATTGTGATTGTATTAATTGCATAATAACCAATGTTCATTTTACTTTTATTATTATTATTATTATTATTATTATTATTATTTCAATAACAATAATTACAATTTAAACAAGAAAGAGCATTTTTACCATCATGTATATTTTTGTTTATTATTTATTTATTTTGTATAAATCAAATGAGAGAGGCTCCACTTTTTACTCCAAAGGTCTAAGTTTGCATTTTTACTTAAGAATTTTCATATATATTACTATTATCCAATGATGAAAAAATTATATCAACTGACCACAAAAAGACTCTAAGGCAATAAATCCCAGGAATTCAGTCATATGGATTAAATTTGTATTCATATGTAATATTTTTGTTTTTATATGTAATAGTTTTGTATTTAAAAGAAAGTATATATTAAAAACAGCATCCTTCAGTATGAAAGTGTATATGAAAATGTTAATGGATATATGGCTCTATGAGTGAATCACTACAGAAATGCTGCCCTCAGATTAGATCTGTCACTGGACTATAATGACCATTCACTACTGAAAATACACTTTAGTGCTGCACTGAACTGAACATCAACATTTAGTCCAGGATTACAGTTATCTGTATTCTGGAATCAACCTCTAAATGTAGTTATACATGTTATAACTGAAGTTTGGGGAAGGAACATGCCAGAAACCCCTCCTTCTTCCAGTCTAACACCCTATAAATTCACATCCTCACCTTCTTCTCCTGTGACAAAGTGTTCACAATTCCCACTGCCACCCCATCTCTTCCCTATTCCTCAGTCTTACATCAGCTATGACGTGGGGGTCTGGCGTTCTAGCTACATGCAGAAGCTGCCCAGAACTCCAGCCAAAGTTCTCAGAGTTCTCCACCCTCCCTCAAATCAGTCTTTCCTCTTACTACCACCACATATTGCAGGCATGGTCTGAACTCACAAAAGCTGTTTTACTCAAAGTAAAGAAAATAGTCTGTAGAGATAAAACATTTACAGAAATGAGGGAAAAACATGATGTTTCATTGTGTTCTCTCTCCTCAGCCTCTGTTACTCTGGACCCCAACACTGCACATCCAGACCTCCACCTGTCCGATGATCTCACTGCTGTAGAAAACAGGAAACAGAGATCAACACTTCCTGATAATCCAGAGAGATTTGAAAAGACCTGGTGTGTTCTGGGTTCTGAGGGTTTTAACTCAGGGATTCACTGCTGGGACGTCCAGGTTGGAGAGAGTGATAACTGGTCACTGGGTGTGATAACAGAGTCTGGAACAAGACAAGGAAACTCTGTCTGGGGTTCAGCGTGGAGGCTGTATTATGTTTTTGGTGAATACCAGATACGCTGTCCAGGACAGTCAGTTCACTCCCTCACACCTACAGAGAAGCTGCAGAGGGTCAGAGTGCAGCTGGACTGGGACAGGGGGAAAGTGACCTTCACTGATCTTCTAACCAACACACACCTGCTCACTATAACACACACTTTCACTGAGAGAGTTTTACCGTATTTCTGTAATCGGTCTGTTCAACCTCTGAGGATCTTACCAGTGAAGACGTCAGTAACAGTGGAACAGCACAGTTAAAGTTGATGCTGCTTAGAATGAACATTTATACAGGTAGTGAGTGTCTGAATTATGATCATAAGAATATGTCACTACATGTATATTTTAAATAATGTGTTTATATCATTCCATCCTAACATGTCTGTGTGGAAATACTGGTTTAAAGTGTCGTAGAGTGACTCCTGATATCATTACAACATTAGAAATGTTATTTGAGTGAGATTTCACTCATTTTCAGTGTAGATTTTATTTCTCTATCATCCTGCATTTTTCTCCATCATTAGATCTTTAAAACTCTGCTTTGGTTCAGAGATTAATAGTTTGCTGTGTGAAATAAACTGCATTATATTATAAACTGAATGCATGTTGTGTATTGAATATTATCCCACAGCATCATGTAAAGATCATCCAGCAGATCAAATGGAGGAGATCTGTCTAAATCAGTGACCCACACATGGCCAGGATGTTGAATCTTTATTTGGAATAGTCATTAAATATCACAGCAGATTTCATCCTGGCCTTTAGAGGTCTGCTTTTGAATGTCAGACATTAAAATAACTTGTTGTAAATGTGTCTTTACTCAGTGGATTAGATCCTTAGGAGCTACTTCAGTTTCATTAATTCCTGTCATTTCCATTTTCTGTTGGCCCAAACGTAGTATATTGTAGTGACCCTCTATAGCCTGACGCTGGCAATTAGAAGCTTATAAGATGTGGTCTTGCTGATGGCCATGCCAGGAGGATCATGTGAGATCCACACCCTCCAAACCAGGTATTATTTTTGTTGTTTTTGTTACTATTTGTCATTTAAATGTATGTTGTATGTGTTTATATTGTCATTCTATGTTGGGATGTGGGTTTAGTTCTGTGGGTTTTGTGTGTGAGGGTGGTCTTCATCGGGGTGAAGTGTGTGGCTAGTGGTCCTCCCCCGTGAGTTTAGAGCTTTGTATGTGCCTTTCTGTTGGTGTGTTAAAAAAACAGAGCGCTTCTCTTAGCAGCATCATGGCCTCCACTGTGTCTTACTTTATGCTGACACTACAATATGTTGTGAACATTAACAACATGAACCAAAATGGTTAAGAATTACCAGTGGCCAGTGATCTTGTATGGATCAGAATGAGCTGTCAAAGAGTTGAAACTTTGGGTACTCATATCTTGGATTTGGTGTTCTTGTTTTCCTTTCTTGCTTTTTTATAACATGACTTAAGTTGGCTGCACATATAATATTAAAGCATAGGAAGATGTTCATGTTTTCAGTATGGTAACACTATAAAAAGATTGACAAAATCCACTGATTCATCTTTTGGCTTCACATCATGGTGGTACATCAGCACCCTGTAACACTTACATACATTCATATCAAGCTAAACTGCTGATTTAGACTGTATCAGTTAGTGCACTGCCCCAATTATGGTTGATGGGAATCCAGATGGGAATTTTTATTTTATTAAGTCAAAAATATTTTTTAGTTATTTTATCATTGTTTCACACTGATTGTTTAAATGTTCCTCTGAGCTCATGACAGTGGTGGAAAAGCACTGACCAAGCGAATGAGACCCATGCCCAATGCCAGGTGTGGGCTAGAGGGGTATAAAGCCCCCCAGCATTGGGCTGTGGAGCAGTGGACCTGTTTTCTCTGGAGTGATTGAGGTCCCTCCAATATCTCTGGGATGATGTGGAGTGATTCAGAACTGATCATCCAACATCTGTACCTGATGTCTGTGGTGGACACCATCTGGTTGAGCCAAAGTCCGTTGTTTATCAACCTCCTCACAACCACAAAACTTAACAGCTTTGGCTCCACAAAGTCTGAGCTAAAAGCCATAAATGGGATTAAGGTGTTCATAAATTTTATGGCCTAATGGAAGTCATGCTGGTACCAGGCACGGACACAGTGGGAGGTTATCAACCTTCTGCCACTAAGGTTACACAATGGGGCAATAAAAAGCTCTTGCTGGAAACCACAGGGTAACTCTAAACTAAAACGTAGTAAAAGAAAACCAAATTTCTAGAGATATCAACTCCAAATTGCAATCACAGACCCGCAGGGCATGAACTTCTCCAGATCCACCCTGGGCTCCTGGAAGGACTGAAGTCCACCTTCTCAACTCCAAGTAAGGCGGTGTTTACTCCGATGCATTCAGGTTTCGATGCTATTTTGTTTAACGGGTTAAAAGCTTTTGATAGATGTACTTACCCATATACATACGTCTATGCATAGGTTAACTCACTGCAGGTCTCTAACTTTCACATCAAGTTTCGAGTTGCTTTCCCTCATTACTCTGACCAATCACAAGCTTCCACCTGTCTTTAAATAACTCGACTTACATGTCTGCTTTGCTGCTTCGTTTCCCTCCTTCCTCCCCACCGCCACGAGGTGGTCCCTGCCCAGTTGCCCAGGGGGTAGGCTCCACCCCTACCGTCCCTATATGGCAGGACCTCGATGGTCTAGACGTTCGGGCCAATGACGGGGCCTGCGCCAAGAACTTTAACTAACAAAATAGACAAACATTTGTTATTTATTAAATTGTTAAATATTATTGAGATTATAATATTTTTTCTTCCTTCACGTTCATCTCTGGAGTCTTTCTGGGAGATCAGCCCAGACTTGAAAGGTGCATTCTCTTCTCAAAGGCTTGATTTGCCAGATACACAAGAAGGGCAAACAAATTAGCTGTTTAACAATATGAGACATGTTTTTATTGTTTATTAAGTTGCTGCTAATAAGCAACAAATAAAACACACTGTAAACAAAATTCAGTCAGTTCAACCTAACAATGTACTTCACGTGACATTTTAATCAATTCTAATAAATACTTTAACTGAACCAAAGCAAACTAAAATAACGTTTTACATGAACAAAATCGATATTTTTCATCAATCACTCAGAAAACTTCCACACTGTTCCAGTTTTTAAAGTGTAAACAATAAAGCAATTCACTGTGCAGTCTATTTGCAATACAATTAATTTAATACAGTCATCTCAGCATATGAATGTTTAATAAATGTGTCCCCAGGAAATCTGGAAGGCTGCTCTGATCCTTTGTAAAAAAGTGGAGAAAGTGGAGAAAACAGAAATCCAGTTAGTTACATTTCATTTCATGGCATGATTAATTAAATTAAATTTTAATTCCAGTCTGCAGTGTCCCACACCTCAAAAACCATTAGGCTTAAGTAGTGTTTTCACATGCTGTACTTCACAAGCTCAAATGAGAAATTGGCTCTTATGTAAGAAGAGTAAACATTTACAAAACTGAACAGTGTTGACACTTCATTGGCTTTCTTTGTTAAACAAGTAATGTTGTTCCAACCTTCTGTCAAGTGTGCAACACTGTTCACTTCATTTTTCACAAAACAGAGCCTTATAAAGTGTTTAATACCTGACAAACTAAACAGAAACACAAGGCTGTGAGTACACAGTGAACAGAACTGAGGGAGATAATGACACGGATAAGGACTATAATGGCTGTAACAGGAAGATCAGATGAGTGGGTGGAGCCAGGACTGGAAAACTCTGACTCTTTGACTTCTGAGGTCCTAAAAAAAGTCTCTTCTAAAAACCCACTCAGTTCTGCTTTTATCGCATGTTCACAGAATTTTCATATTTCTCACATCCACCAACAATGAGGCTGCATGTAACACTGGTACTCCTCTGTGTGCTTTTCCCTAAAGGTATGGAACATGACCTGCAGAATACTATGGAAAATCTTAGATGCAGACAATTTCATATTTGCATTTTGCATTCTTATTGCAATATTTGTACAAATTTTTAAAAGTTAAAGTTTGAGTATAATAATGAATGTTTGATTGCTCCTTGTAGAACTGCTGATAAAAATGTTTCTAAAAAACTACGTTTTGAGACAATAACAAAACAGTGAGCTGGCGTTTTCTCTTTAATTGGGTCTGTTTTTCATGCCGGACTCTCGCTGTTCTCTAGCGCTGGCACTGAAGTGTTATCAGTGCATACCAGAGCTGTACAAATCCTGCAAAGAGACACAGACCGACTGTCCAGATCAGTGTGCCAGCAAAACCATCTTCATGAACGTTGGTAAGAAAGAACTCAATGCAAAAGAATGAGATCAGTCATAAATCTCTCCACTTAATCATGCGCTGTTTTGTTCACTAGATGGTGAAAAACAGGAGATGCATACGAAGAGCTGTGCAGAAGCAGAGCAGTGTGTCACTGGGAGCCTAAATCTGGGGTTTATAAAAATGACTGTCAACTCAGAATGCTGCAGCTCTGATCTCTGCAACAGCCAAAAAGTGCCAGGTAAAACCAAAAGCTTTGAATACTGAATGAAGAATGTGGCTATAAAGTTCCTTCAACTGCAGAAAAGTCCTTTTAAACTCTCTTCACTTGTTTACCTGTATAGTTTTGCCACAGGGGAGTCCAAATGGGAAGAAGTGTTACACCTGTACTGATAAAGACTGTTCAGAGACCGTGAGCTGTGAGGGAGATCAAGACCGTTGCATCACTGCCGCAGGTGATAAAAACATGAAAAATGCTCACTCATCTGTACATCTAGATTGATCTGTACACATAATTTTGTGGAATGAAAAAGAACTGTTTGAGACATTTTATTACTAAAGTGACTATAAACCCCTGACTGTTATGGGCTGAATACAGTAGTTTACACAAGTCTCAGGCATCTACATTAACCCTCTATTGCATGAGTTATTGCTTAAATATGATAAAAATGTTGTAATGTGTTTTTGTTATTTAAAATTGCTTAAATAATGGAAATATTTTTAAAAAATCTATAAGTGGGGTATTTGGTAAATTGTTGCCATATGGCAACAATGCGCAATCGTAGCACAGCACCATAAAATCAAAATTTTCTCTTAAAACATCATTTTATTGAAAACAAGATCAAACATATCCAACTTATACTGGGTAGAATGTACGATCCTATACTTACAAAAATTGGAAATTTATACAATTTCAATTGGAATTTGAAAAGTATGGTAATAGTATCATAATAAGAATTCCTGGTCATGTCATGTCATAAATTATTTGTCCTTTTAAAGTAAAAGACCCTTTTTCCACAAATAAATAGGTAAACACTGATTTTATATTACTGCTTTTTATTAAAATTGAGATAAAGTAATTGTTGCCATATGGCAACACTGTGCAATAAAGGCTTAAAGATTAAATGCTATATCTTTCAAAAAATAATAATTTGTTAAGAAAAAAAAAACACTACAAATAAACAAATATTCAAATTCATTGTGACTTCCTGTGTGTCAGTGTTTGGTTCAACATTTACAACATTCCTCCTCGGAAAAGTATTATTTACAGTATTTACAATTACCATCTAATTAGGCCTTTCAGAGTTTAATCATTACTTAATTAATCGTCTGATAGCAATGATTTGAGATTTGAGCTGATCACATTGTTTTTAGTGGTGACTACAATTATTTTGCTCAGTTTTTGCTGTTTTGTGGCTTTAGAGGAAAAGCTGAAATTGTTTTCAACATTTTTCTTGAGTGACTAAAACTTTTGCACAATATTATGATGCATTTTGGGCATTTTTATGACGTTAGAAGACATGCTTGATTGGTAACTCTATATTATTCAGTTACAAACAAAGGGCCAATGCACTGAAAAAAGAAATACTAAGAAAGTGAAATTAATTTTTTTTCTGATTTTGCCTTTGCTTAAACATATTCACTGAGCTAACTTCTGCCTCTCTCTCTCTCTCTCTCTCTCTCTCTCTCTTTCTCTCTCTGTCTCTCTCTCTACATTGACAGTTAACTCTGGTGGTGTTCAGCTGACTATGAAAGGATGTGGGAGCAAAGATCTTTGTGCTGGGGACGCATTGAGCATGAAGGAAGCTGGACTCATTGGAGATGTGAGCTGCTGTGAGGGGAACTTGTGTAACAGTGCTAAATGTTAAGCTGAGTCATCTCATCATGTTGGGGCCTCTGCTGTCCCCCATCCTCTTCCTCTAAACTCTCCGCTGCTCTTTTTCTCACATTTTTTTTTATCTTTCAAGACCAGCTGTGCTGCGTATTTGTAACCCAAATAACTTGAATAAACAGTGTGGAAACTATTAGTGGTTTATTTACATTTCATTGTTTAGTTACATCTATTTACATCTGATATACACCTGACATTCACTACTGAGTATTATTATTATTATATTATTATTATTATCATTATTATTATTATTATTGCTACTAAAAGTGCTTTTTAAAAATAAAAACAATAAACATACAGAGGAGAAAAAATAGTTACTTTGAAATAAAAAATGCATTGAAGGTGTGTGATGCCAGGATGAAGTTGTTCAGGTCATCAGGATCAATCTGGACTCCCTACTACTGATTATTCACAGAGAAAGAAAACACAGGACGTGCTGGAAGTATGGCACATGTAACGTGTTCAAACAAAATCACCAAATTAAAACATGAAACACAGTGAAAAATGTAACAATATATAAAAATAATCTAAAAATCCCAGCCTGTCCCAGAGGTCATTGGGCGGAAAGCAGGAAACACCCCGGACAGGTCACCAGTCCATTGCAGGGCAGACAGACAGACAGACATATGCACTCACATCTAGGGGCAGCTTAGCATGTCCAGTTGGCTGACTGCATGTTGTTGGACTTTGGGAGGAAACCAGAGCACCCAAAGGAAACCCACACAGACATGAGGAGAGCATGCTGACTTCACACAGAAAGGACTTTGGAAGCCCAGTCAGGGAACCGAAACCAGGCCGATCTTGCTGCACCACCAGTTCTCCAGGTCAGCTTGACCACCATGGAGCCACTTGCTTGACACGTAACAACCAGTTGTGATGGAAGGCCTCACCTGGATGCCCTAAGACACTAACAAACAGTCCACCGTCACTTTACATTAACTTTCAAACTGATTCCTGAGTCCTAATCTGCTCTAGACATTATATGCCAGCTTTACACTATTACTTATTTATCCATGTAAGTGTTAACATGTTCTCAAAGCCACACTCATTTGCTAGACCACTAGATTTAATTCTCAGCCTTTGGAAGTCTTTTGCTTTTACTGGTTGGCCTGAATGATTTTGTTTAGTGTTTAAGCTAATTTCACTTCATATTTCATAATTCTCAGAATTCTCATTGTCTCTGTATTTTTGGTATCATCGTTCCTCTTTTGAGTTTTGGTTCCTTTCAGGGTTTCTTCAATATGCTCTTGCTACTGTATCTCCTTGCCTTAGTTATGAGTGGCTTTGGAACAAAAGAAACCGAAAAGGAAAAAATGCTATATGAATAAATATGAATTGAACTGATCTTAGTTTATGCTCAGTAGCTACTTTCATACATGTAATCCACATGTACAGTCATGGGCTAGTAGGTTTGATACCTGGCACCACTGCTTTAATGCCAGACTGAGTCTAGTATTTTGTGAAGGTTTTGTCAGCTTTGTTCTTTTATCGATGAGTAACCTTGTAGTGAATGTACGTGTAGTTTGGTGTAGAACATAAGCTGGAACAGGGACATTGAAACCAACCAAAAACAGCTTTGCAGCTTCAACAAATGCAGGTAACTCTCTTAAGTATTTGTTTTGGGCCTGTAGGCCTGATTTCACCATCAATATGTGAAAAACAGGCCTATAGGTGTTCCTACTTTCTATAAAAGCAGTGGGTGGTGCTCCTCAGACATGAACATGGAAGTATGGTACCCAGGGGAAGTTAATGGTCATGTAGGGGAATGTGGTCAAATATTTTCAAGACTAACATACTATGCAATTTCCTGTCCAGGTTTCCTGTTATGTCTTTCTACAAAAAAAAAAGCGGAACCAGTATTCCAGGAACACAGGTTTGGTTCCTGCATTCTCACTGCTGCACTCCAGCCATCATCTGGATTTGATTCCATCAGCAGCACCTCATTTAATTAATTTAATGAAACGATGATTAGGGATAAACTAGGTATGCGATGGTATCTTTAAACACTTCCATGAGGAGCTTTGGAAACAAAAAATATGAGAGAAATACAACTTTTAATTAAAAGAAACTTAGTTAAAGTAACTTTTTTAACAAACCAAATTGTCACTATAGTTGTTACCTCTGCATTTAATCATTTGTGCAACCTCCATTTGCCAACATGGCAGCAATGAGTCTTCTACTATAACGCTCGACAAGACTGAAGAGCACAGAGCAAGAAATCTGAGAACGCCCCTCAACACAGAATCTCTCCTGATCCTCCAGGGTTGTAGCTCGGTTATTTTGGACTAATCTTTTGGACTCATCCCAGTGGTTACCAAGAGTAGGGAACTTCTTGGAGACCATGTTGCCATGTATAGAATTTTTCCAGGGTCTTTGGAGGAAAACCAGAATCAGAATCAGATTTATTGGCCAAGTATATTGACACACACAGGGAATTTGCTCCTAGCTGTTGGTGTCTCTCTAGTATTAAATGCGGTCTACAAACAATGTGCAAATTATTCACAGACAATGCACAATGTACAAGCAACACACACATTATGTAGGGGCAAGCAATATACATAAGTGTGTGTTGTAGTGCAAACCACACTAATCTACATCATGTATTGATACGGAATTGTGGTGCACATGTATGGATTATGGGGTAGGCCTGGCTAGACCTGGAACTGGACATGACTAAATTGGAATAGGAATGCAGTGTAAAGTTCCACCATTAGGTGTCGCTAGTGGCTTTTGTTATTGGAGAAAAAGAGAGACTTCTATTCAGCATGTACAAGTCCACGTAAAGAAAACAATCTTCTTTCAAAACATACTCATTAAATTATTATTTACATTTACATGTAAATATACATTTATCATTGTATAGGTGAGATAAATAATACAACATGGGTAGTTACATAAATGGAAGAGATGTATGTTCACAGAAAGATTTGTCAGATTATTCAGTCATTATTAAGTACAAGCAGGATTGGGATGTAACAGAATACAAGTACTGAGAATACGTATTCAGAACACAGAAATGAAGTATCTGTATTCAGTTTTTAGAAGTATACTTAGTATTACTTTTTACATTTTTGGGAGAATACTTTTAGAATACTTACTCAGTAAATTTAAAAACTATATATATAGTATATTTATCAATATATATTCTGAATGTATTCTGAATATGTTGTGTTTTTTGTGTACTGTAATGAAATATGTTACTGAATACAAGTATTTTGGTTCATTCAGCACACAAACTTCTTCAGAAGCTTATTCAAAAGAAGCAATGCCTGTCAATGGTCTTACACTCTCACAAAGCACTTACACCTTAGTTTAGAGTTTGCATATGATTCCCACACCTTGACTATAAAAAATAGGTCAAGGACAAGGGCTAGATTAAAGTTTAACATTATATGAGTGTTGAGTCAGCATAAACAGCATAAACAGCCTAGAGTAGCAGAGCCGTTAACCAGCAAAACCAGCATATGTTGTGTTGTGGATGCTGTCATGCTGGTCAACCACGATCATGCTACACATTGTCTGTATCTCTCCCAGTGCCATTAATTACGTTTCATAGCAGATGAAGGCCCTTCAAACTCCAATCAGTGATTTATCCAGCTCTACAACTGAAATACCCCCTGCTCCAGTAGGATCCAGATAAAATAAATATAACCGTGAATAAATATGGAGAATTCAACAGATTTGTGTATGTTTGAGTAGCTGTACTGATCCCACATCTAAGAGAATCTTCATTTTTACAGTGACTTTTATTTGGCTGTCTAAATTACAAGCTGTAATTTTTCTGTAAAGCCTCTTTTATAACAATGAATGTTGTAAAAATCCCCATAAACATAAACTTTGTCCTGACTTGACTTGATTAAGCCCCACCCATATTTGAATTCTAATTTTACAGAAGGTATTAAAAAGTATCAAAGTCATGGTATCAGTATTGGTATCGAACAATACCTGGCCTTTTACACTGCAGAAGCCATCATGCTTAAATTGCAGAAGTGATGAGCCTTAACTGGCATTCTCTTAATGAATACAAACTATTAGCACTTGTCAACATTAATGTGAAGTGGACTTGAAATGTCTGGGCTTAAAAGATAAAAAAAAACATCTTACTTTGTAAACTAATCTTTTTTTTGATGTATATTTAAACATGATTCAAATAAAAGGAAGAATAACCATGTAAAACATTTATTCTTCTATTTGGACCTTATCTTAATTTACATTTCAAGAAACAGTCAGTGGAGAAAAGTTACAGTTCCAGACTTGTTCAGCCCCTCCCTTTCCAAAGCTCCTCCTCCACTGCACAGTCCACCTGTTGGAGGAAACGGAAACTCATACTGTCTCTCTGCTGATCTCTGCTGATCTTATGTTGCCCAAGAGTAACTGATAATCTACCGATGTTTAATTTTCTAACTAACTTTTCATAAGACATGGAGATAAAGGACTACAGTGAGTGATTCTGAACCCTACTGCTGAGGTCACTACGGAAATCCAGAAACTGAAATCGACCTTTGGGCCGGAGGAGGAGACCAGCAGCTGTTTGAGAGAATGGCATCTTTAAGCTCTCTACCAGAGGAGGACCTTTTATGCTGTGTGTGCTGTGACATCTTCAGGGATCCTGTTCTACTGTCATGTAGCCACAGTGTGTGTAAAACCTGTCTGCAGAAGTTCTGGAGGACAAAAGGATCTCTAGAATGTCCAGTTTGTAGGAGAAGATCCTCAAGACAAGAGCCTCCACTTAACCTGGTACTGAAGAATGTGTGCGAGGCTTTGAGAGAGAGAAAGAGGCTTCAGGGATCTTCAGCAGGGTCTGAGGGGCTCTGCAGTCTGCACCATGAGAAACTCAAACTCTTCTGTTTGGATGATCAACGGCCTGTCTGTTTGATGTGTCAGACTTCAAATGAACACAAAAACCACAAATGCTGCGCAATAGATAAAGCTATGACTGATTTTAAGGTAGGACACTTACTGTAGCTTCTTAGAATACTTATTGTACTATTTTGCTTCTAAGCTGTGAAGTCTGTCACGTTTCCTTTTTTCTGAGTATCAGAATTTCCTGTTATACGTGTTAGACAGGTTAGATGAAGTATGTGGGTGGGTGTGCTGTCAGAGGAAGGGGCACACAGTAAGAGCTGTTCAAAGACTTATCAGAATGATCACATTAGAATAACCGCCTGCTTATTTATACACTAGGAAAGCTGTGTACCTTAACATATGTAATGTATCTATATAATACATGTACACTGTTAGAAATAAAGGTGCTGAGCAGGTGCATTTTTTGTTCATCAAGATACAAACAATGTAAATGTTCCCTCAAAGGTACAACAGTGGTTTAAGGCCTAATTGTGCACCTTAAATAAGTTTTTCCCAGGTGAAAAGTATGTATTTGTTCCTTTTTATAACCTTACATTGTAAAACAGAACAATAAAATAAAAAGCCTGGAGATGAGATGGGGGTGTGGAGTCAACACAACTTAGAAAATATAATTTAAATGGATTACAATTATGTTCCCTGACTAAAGGTACTCTGATGTACCGTTGAGGGTACCACCTTAGTGAAAAGAGGGGTACTGCCCCAGTGACAGTTTTTTTGTAAACTGCAAACTTAATTCTCCAATGAAAAGTTTACTGTTTGGGAAAGACAGCAAAGCTACCATTCTTGCATTCTGTGTTACCCTCAGCACATTCATGTAGTTATAACATTATAATTATAATGATATTGTACAGTGATGAATGCACTCAGCTAAACTGTTCTTTAATTGCAGAATAAACTCAAGTCTGCTTTGAAGCCTCTACAGAAGAATCTGAAAGTCTTGAAGAAAGCTAAACAAAACTATGACCAAACAGCAGCTCACATTAAGGTGAAACATCATTTTGAATTGTGAAACATGTTGCTAAGGTCATTTTTCTAATGAGTGTCCACTTCTCCTGTTGGTCAGTGGTTCCCCACCCTGCTCCTTTTTGTGTTTTCTTGCCCAAACACACTCACTTCAACTCAGGAGGAGCTTGTTAATTTGCAGATTAGTTGGATCAGGTGTGTTGGGAGCAGGGCAAATATTAAAATGTGCAGGACATTCCTCCAGAACTAGGATTGGGAACCACTGCTGAAGGTGGTAAATGCTTGTAGATCATCTGTTAGAGTTTGTGTTTCCTAATGGTCTCTCATTCCAGATGCAGGCCCAGCACACAGAGAGGCAGATAAAGGAGGAGTTTGAGAAGCTTCACCAGTTTCTAAGAGATGAAGAAGCAGCAAGGATAGCTGCACTGAAGGAGGAAGAGGAGCATAAGAGTAAGATGATGAGGAGGAAGATTGAGGAGATGAATGGAGAAATATCATCTCTTTCAGACACAATCAGAAACATAGAGAAGGAAATGGAAGATGAGGATGTTACGTTTTTACAAGTAGGAGTCACATTCTCTCGAAAAAGCATCTACTTTTCTCACGACACCTCTTTTCAAAATCTGTGCCCTTCCATAATCATGCACACACATTTGTTTGAATAATGTGGTCGGGACTTTAGACATTCATTTCTTCCCCACCTAAGAAGCCACTTTTAAAAACATTCTGTTTAATTCTCGTTTCAGAGCTTCAAGTCTACAGAGAAACAGTAAGTAAATGTCAGATCACACATTTTATCTAATGTTAAAGTCATTATTACATTTAAATCTACAGTATATTGTATTTATTGTAAATATGAGTGTATTATAATGTAATGAAGGTGAATAAGGATTGTGTGTTAATGTTGTAGTGATGAGAACAGTAGCAGAAATATTTATTTGACAGAAACAACAGAATTAGGAAATGGCAGTAAATGGGCTCTTAAAATATTGGTACAAAACTTATAACATATATTTCATTATATTTTCAGACTTCAGCTCACACCAAAGAGTCCAGAGAAGACATCAGGAGCTCTGATCAATGTAGTGAAACACATTTCCAACCTGAAGTTCAGAGTGTGGGAGAACATGCAGGAGATTCTCCAGTACAGTAAGTTCTGTTTCTCTTAGGACTGATCTCTCACACACAGTCTGCTTCTGCACTAATGAGAATTTTAACCATCATTCTTAATCTTGGTTTGGGAAATCACTGTGTAGTACAAAAGATCTGAACATTAAACAGGATTGCTGCTGTAATGCTGAGTTGACGAATTAGACACTCGTGTATACAAACATGTCCTTTTGAACATCATTGATGAATGCCTGGAAGACAGTAGGAGCATTTGACAGACCGAACGACATCACTAATAACTCATCATTTTCATAACTCTATTGGTGATAAAAACTGTCTTCCATTCATCATCTTCCTTAGTTCTGACCAAGTTGTAAGCACTGCGAAGATCTAACTTACTAAAAATTGTGGCTCCGCTGAGCTGTTCTAAGGCAACAGGAGCTAATAGTAAAGGGTAAGGATGGTTTTTGGTGATTTGAATGAGCCCTCTCTAATTTATTCAGGATCTGAGACATCTTTTTTCTTAGCGAAGAAGAAACCAGTGGCAGTGGTATAAACCCCTGAGCTACAGCTTCTTGAATGTACTCCTCCAAAGCCTGATCCTCCTCCTGAGTGAGGGGATATACTCTAGATTTTGGAGGGGTAGCACCCTCAATCCATTCAACAGTCATACTCATGATGAGGGGGTAATTCTGTGGTCTTGCTCTTACTAAAAACCTCCTTAAGGTCTGCATATTCAGGGGAAACGAGTATCAGAAGGTCTTAATTTAGGCTTTCTGTGGATACTGTGGTTAAAACTACACGGGGATTTCAAGACATTGACTAAAACGCAAGGAACACTAAGGATTTCATGATCTGACCAAGAGATATTTGGATTATGTGCATGCAACCTTGTCTCCTCCCTATGTAGAGCATTGGTGTACATAGTAACTGGTTTAGGGAGCATGTCTATAATTGCCCTTTCCAACCGGATCTCCATCCACAGCAGACAAGCGCAGAGAGGCTAGAAGATGTTACACTGAAATGTGGAGTTGATTCACCAGCGACTTGTGAATGAAATTTTCCTCTGCACCAGAGTCAATCAAAGCTGAAAAGAAATGAACAGAATTGAGGTAGCACAGAGTCACAGGTAATTGAAACGACTTCTGAACCAACCTCTTTGTGGAAGCACTCCAGCGGTCAGCGCTTGAGGTCTATGCCTGAGTCACGGAAAATGACCAGCAATGCCACAATACCTGCATAGACTTCTGCAGTTGCTCCTCCTGTGACAGATGTGTCGAGTCACACTGCATGGGTTCTGTCTGGACTGATTCCTTCATGGAGACATTGACAGATGAGACTTGGGTGGTGGTAGATCCTCGTTGATGGACAGCTGGAATGTGACGTGAGCTAATGGTCCTAGTTGGTTTAAGTTGGTCTAGGTGGATGAACGGAAATCACTAAGTTCCTCTAGTGAAAGGTTATCATCACGCCATTTCTGACAGAACGTCTGAATTAAGACCATTACGGGGCTCAATAATCAAAGCTGGCTCATTCCAACCGCTGCCAGCGGCCAAGGTATGAAATTTCAAGGCATAATCGAAACAAAACAATTGTGTTGGTGGAGTTTAACCAACAGTTATCCCTGAGAATGTCCTTCATGTCCTTCATCAAAAACAGCTTGAAATTTCTTAACAAACTCCTCATAGGAGTCTCTTTGAGCATATGACCACATGGCTGTGGCCCATTCTAAAGCTTGACCAGTTAAATGTGATATTAGGAAAAATATGCAAGTAGTATCAGAACTGGGAAAAAAAACTAAGCATTGTAATAAAAGTCCTGGTCTGCACTGGTCTGGTGAACCATCAAATTTGTCTAGCTTGGTAATGTGAAAGTGCCAGTAACAGGAGGCAGAGAAATAGAAGTTACTGATTCTTTCACTTGACATTGATATTCTGTTACCGAGTAGTGAAATCTCTCAAGTTATTCGCTATCAAGGTCAATTGTTTCTGTTGTTTACTCTTTGTTGTTGTGTTAGAGTACCTACTGACTGGCTGATGGATTCAAACAGTTGATGATGTTGACCCAACATTGCACCTTGGTTACTTACTGCAGTTAGTAACTCCTTGATATCCGCTGTCTGCATGATGGAAAAGTATTCTGTAACACTGGGTTGACGAATTAGACACTTGCGGATATAAAATAAACCTGAAGGTTTATTTAAAGGATTGGGACAGAAAACTGGGTTAACACTAGACCAGAGCAAAATCCAAAAGAGAATAACAATACATTGGAGCAGGCGACACAATAGTCAAAAACAAGCATGGGTTGAAACCAGAAGATATAACTACCATGCAAACTAAGCTAAAAGGGGAGAATCCGAAAGATGAAAGAGAAAGACAAAGCAAGTTCAAAACTGAGAGATGCAACAAACAGGTAAACAGCTCGGTACACACTGAACAAACAGAGGCAAAACTTCACAAAGTAACAGAGGAACAGACAGGCTTAAATACATAGTTCAACAGGTGATAACCATCAGTATTCAGGTGAGCTGGATCTGCTGCTTGGCTGATGATTGGTGGACTAAGTCACATGACTAGCTGAGGGATCTTGTGAGTTGGAGTTTGTACTGAGTTAAGAGGCTGAATGTGAACCAGGAAGCTTGACATCTGCACATTGTTTAAAAAGAATTCAATGCTTTTTAAGACCTCAACAAGCTCACATATTGCAGGATATTTGCACCTTTTTTTCATTTTACTTCATCAGTTCTGGGGCCCTTCATCAGTGATCCATTTCTGACCATAGGACCACTGTCAGCTGTATAATTGTGGTTGACGGACTATTTTGAATTAGCTTAATATACACAACATCTTATTATCTTGGTCACTGCTAGCTATCCTAATATTTATTCTCTTTATTCTTGGACCATCTTGCATGCACATTAAGATCTACCCACCAATTTTCAATGATGCTCAAGTCAAAGAACTTAAGGACAATTCCTAAAGCATGAACTTGCATTTCCTGTAGTAGTTCATGGTGAATTTTGAGGTATGTTTTGGATCATTGTCCTGCTGTAGAATCCAGTTTTTCAGTTTCAGTTTCTTGACTGAGAGAATCACATCTCCTTCTAGAATTAGCTGATATTTGGTGAAAACCATTCTTCCATCTATTTGTGCAATGTTCGCTGTGTCACTGGCTGCTACACAGAACTTTACGAAGTGAAGAGAGCAGGCTCATTCCATCCACAAGCCTTAGTGAGAGTGCAAAAACTGAGTGTATAATCAGAGGCAGACATACTTTATTGCCATAGCTGCAGAAGCCTCTCATCCCTGCCCATGTGGTCAGGTGGGTGGTTAAAGACTCAACTAAATAATGAGAAAAACCTATCAATGAGGACAAGTCCACTTCTTCTTGTTCCCAAACAGTAGTAGTACAGTCTAAAACCCTCCCCTTCAAAAAACAGATCAGAGTGGCGATATTTGACAAGTTTTGATAGTGAGCAAAATAGAAGAAACATTGCAAAAGTTGCCTTTTGCTTATGGATGGGCAGTTTGATGGCTGGCAAGGTGAGTTGTGCAGTAAATGGGTGGTAGGTTTTGAATGAGCTCAAGAGACTTTTGTGCAGCCACTGTAACAGGTGTTGTGGCAAGCTGTTGTAACACCCCCATAAACTCTTTAATGGTGGCTCCAAGTTCTGCAAGCTCTCAGTAGTGTTCTAAAAGCAGTCTCTCCTGCACAGTGACAACCAAGGTGGTGATATTTTCTCCTCGATTGTCTGGGTGTCCATTATCAAGGCTAATTATTAAGAAATTAATCACAAAGGCAGACAGAATGCATTTGCAGGTATGATAACTTTAATAAAGAGACAATCTAAAAATCATAGTAAAAATGGCAGTCCAAAGTTAATATGAGGGACAAACAGAGCAATGCATGTAATGCAAATCAAAAAAGTCAAAAATAAAAAGCAATTGTCAAAAGAGGGAAATTCAGGCAGGACAAAGGGGGAAAATGTCTCACTCAAAATCAAGAGACTTTCACTCATTACAATTGACTATGAATCGAATATGAATGAGAAGATGTGTCCGGTACCAGTAATCAGAATTTAGTGTAGACAGAGGCATGACATGGTACCATACTGGGACTGAAACCGTTGGAATTGATATTAAGATTTGTTAATAATGCAAAAAATAGTGTTCATACATACAAACTGGAGAAAAAACATGATGTTTCATTGTGTTCTCTTTCTTCAGCTCCCGTTACTCTGGACCCCAACACTGCACATCCAGCCATCCGCCTGTCTGATGATCTCACTGCTGTAGAAAACACAAACCAGAGATCGTCACTTCCTGATAATCCAGAGAGGTTTCACGAGTCTGTTTGTGTTCTGGGTTCTGAGGGTTTTAACTCAGGGACACACTGCTGGGACGTCCAAGTTGGAAACAGTGAAAACTGGTCACTGGGTGTGATACCAGAGTCTGTAACAAGGAAAGGAGACTCTTTTTGGGATTTAGTGTGGAGGCTGAACTTCAGTATAGACAGAGGTAAACACTGGATACGCTGCCCAGGTGAACCACGTCATTACCTCACTCCTAAAGAGAAGCTGCAGAGGGTCAGAGTGCAGCTGGACTTGGACAGGGGGAAAGTGACCTTCACTGATCTTCTAACAAACACACACCTGCACACTGTAACACACACTTTCACTGAGAGAGTTTTACCGTTTTTCTGTAATGTTTCTGCTCGTCCTCTGAGGATCTTACCAGTGAAGACGTCAGTAACAGTGGAACAGCACAGTTAAAGTTGATGCTGCTTAGAATGAACATTTATTCAGGTAGTGAGTGTCTGAATTATGATCATAAGAATATGTCACTACATGTATATTTTAAATAATGTGTTTGTACCATTCCATCCTAACATGTCTGTGTGGAAATAAAATGCTGATTTAAAGTGGCATAGAGTGACTCCTGATATCATTACAACATTAGAAATGTTATTTGAGTGAGATTTCACTCATTTTCAGTGTAGATTTTATTTCTCTATCATCCTGCATTTTTCTCCATCATTAGATCTTTAAAACTCTGCTTTGGTTCAGAGATTAATAGTTTACTGTGTGAAATAAACTGCATTATATTACAAACCGTGCAGCTGAATGCATGTTGTGTATTGAATATTGTCATGTCTGTGACAGGTGATTCCCCTCCACACCAGCAGGAGCCACTGTCACTACATAATCAGGGCATTTAGTAACCTGTTTTCAGTCATTAGCCTTTCTTAAAAAAAAGACACTGTGTTTAAGTAGATTATCTGTGGCAAATGATTAAGTAAATGACTTGTGTGCAATAGAGTAGAATATCTGTTGTGATTTGTGGTGCTGGCCTGGGGAAGGGCCAATATAAACTGACTGGGAAACCCAACAACAGCTCATAGACACACACAGAAACATCAACATTAAACCAAAATTGACTGACTTTTTACTACAAAAAGTTCTCTAGGCTATTCTCTCTTTCTTGCTGTCTCTCTCTCTCTCTTTCAGCATCTTGCTTATATGCCAGTGTCCTTCTCTCTCTCATTGAAAGAGCCAGTCTTATGCTGCCAGGGCTCCTCCCCAAACAAGCATCAGCGGTTCATGATTAGAGGGTGAGCACCCATCAAGCAATGGTGGGAAACACTGCGACTCTGCCTTTCCACCGCCACATTCCCCTCCCCATAGAGACCAGCCACTGAGGTTGAACATCAGGTGTGACCTGGTGCCTGGGCCAACTCCAGGGAGGCAGAGTAAGAGAGTTGGCATCGCCATGGGGAACTTAATAATAAGAGTAGAGGCCGCTTCTGGATTCTGTTTGCTGATGCCCTCCAGGGCACCAGGTGCAGACTCCAGTGACTTTGCTGATGTCCTCTGGGATGCTGGAAGGTGCTATGACTGCAGACAGCTGCAGAGGATGCAGTGTCTGTGATTTCCAAAAAACTTTTCCAATTTTGATTCATCAGACAGGACACTTTTCCACTTCACCTCAGTCCATCTTAAATGAGCTCAGGCCCAGAGAAGGCGGCAGTGTTTCTGGAACCTGTTTATATGGTTTCTTTTTTGTGTGGTAGTTTTAACTTGCGTTTGTGGATGCAGCGACAAACCGTGTTCACAGACAGTGTTTTTAAAAACTGTTCTAGAGCCCATGCAATGATTTACACTACAGAATCATGTCTGTTTTTAAATGCAGTGCCACCTGAGGGCCTAAAGATCATGGCCAGCCAATTTCAGCATCTCAGCCTTGTCCCCTGTAAACTGATATATTGATATATGTTATTCTTGAATTGCTGCATTATTTGCCTATGCAGTCTTTCACAGAGTGGGGAACCCCTTACTCTATTTACTTCTCAAAAACTCAAGTCTACCTCTCTGCGGTGCTTTTTTTATACCTAATCATGTTACTGACCAAGCATTTTTCTAACCACTTCTAAACACCTCTTGTATTAATTAAAACAGAATGAAGACAGTATTTATAAATATATCTGTTTGCATACGTTTCTGCGTAGGCAGTGAAAAATGCAAAATTAACTAAAATTGCTGATATATAGAAACTGATTGTCTCGACATTTGAAATTGCCTTGTTTCAGGTTATTAATGAACTACTACCATCTAGTGTAGAAAGCACACAGAATAGAGCACCTGACTGACTCCTCCTTTTCCAAAGCTCCTCCTCCTCTACACCTCCTTTACCTGTTGGAAGAAGCAAATCTCATACTGTCTCTCTGATCTTTCTTCATTCTGCATTCACTTCACTCAGAGACACCAATGAGGAGCTTTTAAACAGTGACTGTATGTGTTTGTTTCTTGATGTGTGATTCTGAAAGGAGCTACACTCACTCAGTGGGTTGAAGGGCTACGGTGGCTGATTCTCAAGTGTGCTGCTCTGATCATTACAGACGTCCTAAAAGAGAAAGTGGAGTTTGGACTAAAGGAGCCGTTACAGAGGAACAGGACAGCAGCAGTTGGAGGAAATGGCTGCTAGAAACCCTCTTTCAGAAGAAGAGCTTTCGTGTCCTGTGTGCTGTGAAATCTTCAGGGATCCTGTTATTCTGTCGTGCAGCCACAGTGTGTGTAAAACCTGTCTGCAGCAGTTCTGGGAAACTAAGGGGTCTCGAGAATGTCCAGTTTGTAGAAGAAGATCCTCGAAATCTAATCCTCCTGTTAGCCTTACACTGAAGAACCTTTGTGAGGCTCTTCTAGAGAGCAGGAGTCAGAGATCTTCAGCAGGGTCTGAGGAGCTCTGCATTCTGCACAATGAGAAACTCAAACTCTTCTGTCTGGATGATCAGCAGCCTGTGTGTGTGGTGTGTCATCTATCAAAGACGCATAAAGATCACAACTGCTGTCCAGTTGATGAAGCTGTGACTGACTTTAAGGTATAAAATCTGTTGTATTATTTTGATATCTAAAAGGTAACTCAACCAAAATGTATGAAACATTTCTGAGCTTAGTACCAGATTAATCTGTTATGCATGTTGAATGTGAGATCGGTCAGTCGGTGTGGTTTCAGGCCAAAATGCAAACACCACAAGTGAAAAATATCAGTAAGAAAAATGTACTGTTGCTTAATTCCTTATGACTGTCAATGTAAAATGTTACAGAAATGTTACTGTACAAAATGAAAAAAAATCCCTTCTGATTTTGAGAGTAAAACTGCTATTAGTCTCTCTCCATCTGTATTCTGTAATATGACTGTTACATTTAAATGGTTTAATTGATCAGATATTGTAAAGACTGGAGAATGCACTAATCTGAACTGTTGTTTAATTGTAGAATAAACTCAAGTCTGCTTTGGAGCCTCTACAGAAGAATCTGAGAGTCTTAGAGGAAGCTAAACAAGACTATGACCAAACAGCAGCTCACATTAAGGTGAAACATCATCTTGAACTGTGAAACATGTTGCTGAGGTCATGTTTCTGATGAGTGTCCACTTCTCCTGTAGGTGGTAAATTCTTGTAGATCATCTGTTAGAGTTTGTGTTTCCTAATGGTCTCTCATTCCAGACGCAGGCCCAGCACACAGAGAGGCAGATAAAGGAGGAGTTTGAGAAGCTTCACCAGTTTCTAAGAGATGAAGAAGCAGCAAGGATAGCTGCACTGAAGGAGGAAGAGGAGCAGAAGAGTCAGATGATGAGGAGGAAGATTGAGGAGATGAATGGAGAAATATCATCTCTTTCAGACACAATCAGAAACATAGAGAAGGAAATGGAAGATGAGGACGTTCTGTTCTTACAGGTAAGACTAACTTTACTCATCACATCACTCCTGTTTTAAAAGAACTGCACTGGCTATCTGTATCACTCAGTATCGATTTTAAAGTTCTGGTATTAGTTTTTAAGGCTCTAAATAACCTTAAAGCACCACTTACATCACAGAGTGTCTGTCTGTTTATGTTCCAGCGTGTGATCTTAGATCTGCAGATACTGACCTTCTGTAAAATGCAGAAAATATGGAGAGGCATTATTCAGTTACTCTGCTTCTAAACTGTGGAACATTAACTTAATTTAATTAAAATTCTACATCTTATGATATTTAGCTTATTTTTCTTCTGATTCTAAATTAATACTTATAATTTCTTGTATTACTCTTTATAACCTGTCTGTACTTTGAGCTGCCACCGGCATGAGAAGTGCTATATAAATAATAATAATAATAATAATAATAATAATAATAATAATAACAACAATAATAATAATAATAGTAATAGTTTTAAAGCATGGAATTATTATTATTATTATTATTATTATTATTATTATGTTTAATTAGTGCAATCGAGAGTTTAGACATTTTTTCCACAATTTCATATGAAATACAACTGACAAGTCTCATCATTTTAAAACATGCTTTTTATTTCTCCTCTCAGAACTTCAAGTCTACAGAGAAACAGTAAGTAAATGTCAGATCACACATTTTATCTAATGCTAAAGTAATTATTACATTTAAATCTACAGTATATTGTATTTACTGTAAATATGAGTGTATTATAATGAAATGAAGGTGAATAAGGATTATGTGTTAATGTTGTAGTGATGAGAACAGCAGCAGAAATATTTATTTAACAGAAACAACAGAATTATTGACTCGAGGCAATAAATGTCATAAAATATTGATATTTAGTCAAATAAATTACAGGCTGTAAAGTTTCTACAGTGATATATTTCACACAATCTTCTATTTTCAGAGCTCAGCTCAAACCAAAGGATCCAGAGAAGACATCAGGAGCTCTGATCAATGTAGTGAAACACCTTTCCAACCTGAAGTTCAGAGTGTGGGAGAACATGCAGGAGATTCTCCAGTACAGTAAGTTGTGTTTCTCTTAGGGTTGATCTCTCACACACAGTCTGCTTCTGCACTAATGAGAATTTAAACCATCATTAAGAATGGAGCATTCCTAATCTGATTTGGGAAATCACTGTGTAGAACAAAACATCTGAACATTAAGAGCCATTTCATCAAGTACATGATATTAAGGACAGTTAACATCATCAAACCAAACATGAGTTCATACTGTCACTTCATACTCTATTTAACAGAGCAGTGACAGTTCATTCACAACAAAATGTCTCCAAGAAAATAAAGTCACTTGAGCATCTCAAAAGCTCAGACTTTTTATTAAAATGTTAAATATTATATTTAAAATAATTTATCTTCAAAAATATACTTCAGGAATCTGTATCAAATATTAATGGATATTCAGCTCTGTGAGTGAATCACTACAGAAATGCTGCACTCAGATTAGATCTGTCACTGGACTATAATGACCATTCACTACTGAAAATACACTTTAGTGCTGCACTGAACTGAACATCAACATTTAGTCCAGGATTAAAGTTGATCTGTGTTCTGGAATCGACCTCTAAAGCTGTTTTACTCAAAGTAAAGAAAATAGTCTGTAGAGATAAAACATTTACAGAAATGAGAGAAAAACATGATGTTTCATTGTGTTCTCTCTCCTCAGCCCCTGTTACTCTGGACCCCAACACTGCACATCCAGACCTCCACCTGTCTGATGATCTCACTGCTGTAGAAAACAGCAACCAGAGATCATCACTTCCTGATAATCCAGAGAGATTTGATGTGTCTGTGTGTGTTCTGGGTTCTGAGGGTTTCAACTCAGGGATTCACTGCTGGGACGTCCAGGTTGGAGAGAGTGATAACTGGTCGTTGGGTGTGATAACAGAGTCTGTAATAAGGAAAAGAGGCTCTTTCTGGGATTCAGTGTGGAGGCTGTACTACAATAAAATCAGTAATAAATACTTGATACGCTGCCCAGGACAGTCAGTTCATTCCCTCATACCTAAAGAAAAACTGCAGAGGGTCAGAGTGCAGCTGGACTGGGACAGGGGGGAAGTGACCTTCACTGATCTTCTAACAAACACACACCTGCACACTATAACACACACTTTCACTGAGAGAGTTTTACCACTTTTCTGTAATTGGTCTCTTCATCCTCTGAGGATCTTACCAGTGAAGACGTCAGTAACAGTGGAACAGCACAGTTAAAGTTGATGCTGCTTAGAATGAACATTTATTCAGGTAGTGAGTGTCTGAATTATGATCATAAGAATATGTCACTACATGTATATTTTAAATAATGTATCTTTTTCTTTCATTTATTAATGTCCTATTTCTACATTCTTCTATGAACTGTTATTACTATTCCTTAAACTGATTTGACTCCAATTGCACTATTGGACTAATTTTTAAATGTAGTTAATTATTTAACTATTTATCCATTTATTTACAGTTGAAAGTACAGGTTGCAAACCAAGGTACAAAATCAATTGATAGTTTTACTGTTACTTAGTCCATAATTTCTACTCATTTGTTTAGATTTAAACTAAACTGTTGGTTTCTTACGTAATTAGGGTTAGATGGATAAAAGTAGATGTTTACATAAAAGTTAAAAGTAAATAATAAACAAATGCATAAACAAATCTCTCTCTCTCTCTCTCTTTCTCTCTCTCTCTCTCTCTATATATATATGTATATGTATGTATATATAATTTACACATTGCCATATGTTTATGTGTAATGCTATTTTAGAAGTGCGAAGTATTTGTAAGCCTTTTATTGTGATAGGTGCAATACTCCTTTGGAGGCTTTTATTGTGGTCATCTTCCCATTCCCCATAGTTCTCGCCCTAGTAATTGGTTGAAGGTGTCTAATTTCTTGAACAGCATTTCTTTGCTTTTGGTCCTGTTTGTTGTGCCCTGCTAAGACAGCAGTTGGAGCCTAAGCCATTGGGTAGTGAGGTGTTACTCCTTTTCTCTTTATTGGGTAGGCCCTAATCTTATCCTACAGGAGGTGTTTGTTCTTGTGGGCTTATTCTTGACCCTAGATTGGTTGGCTGCTTTGTGGTGAAGGCCTGCATGGTTATGCTGTATACCACTGATTGAGGGTTCCTGAATAAGGGTACTCCCTTAATAGGGGCTCTCAAGTCATCCTGCTGTTTTGCCTGATTTTTTTTTCCCTTTTTTCCCCCCTTTTGTTTACTAAACTTTTTTTTGTTCAAGACAAGTTTTTTCTTTCAGATTAGGCTAGGCCAGGTGGTCAGTGGCTTGCAGTGGGTGGCTTTAGCTTAGACCACTCATCATTGCACTGGGTTCATTGCTGAATTGTGTAATTGTGATTTATTTATTTATTTTTTTCCTTTTTCTTATTTGCTTCACTTTGTGTGATTTGATATTTCCTCCGTATTTTTAAAATGAATAAATAATATGTGGCACAAAATTAGTTTTTGCCTGCCACTCTTTGGTCACACTATTGATGTTTTCATTCTTACTTTGTACATCGATATACATGTATATTGCTGGTTATGGTTTCTGGTAGTAATTCACTTTGCCAGACGAATGGTTACAGTTCCAGTTGTTGATGTCAACGTAGCGAAAAACCAACATTGTGTTGTCACTCATCAGTAAAATACATCTAAGATTTCATCAGTCATTTTAATTTCATTCTGACAGAGTGAACAGTTTCATAGCACAGAAAGTATCTTTTATTGTAAAGTATCTATAGTGATAGACTTCTGTATCTTCCAAGATACACTACTCTGTGCCCACAGATGGTTTAGTCATGCTTTTGAAAGGGTTTGACAGAGCTTTAGAGCTGGCCTGTTCCCAATACACTTTATTAAACTATATATTGCTGTTAAGAAGAATTGACAAAATATATTCTGAGTAGCATTTACATGTTATCATGTAACAGTATCAGTGTGAACACTATGAATTAATGTGCCTGCATTCTGTGTGTTGTTTTTCTGACCACAGTGATTTAATCATGTGGTCTGTGAGATTTGTGGTGAAATGTTTTACTGCATGGTGAAGGAAGCAGTTAATAGACTCCTTTACAAAACTGAAGGCCTGTGATGAGGAACCTGGATAGGACACAACAGCAGACTGCTGTTTTACCCCAAAGAGTCTCTAGAACTGTATCTGAGGAAGTCTTGTCAGCATGTGATGGTCCGTTTATGTTTCTCAGAACATCTGATGTGATACTTGTTAATCCATTTGCATAACAAGGCATGGTCATATCAGTTATCAGATGTGTCAGACGGAGTCTGGATGCTGAAGCTCAGGTTGGAGTTCTTGAGATGCTGAAACTGGCTTCTCCGAAATGATGCCTTCCATTTTTCCATACAGTATTGATTTACTGTTACATGGTGCATTTTTCATTTAACTTAATGTTATAACTTATGAACTGCTCAAATTAGGATATTGTAAATATCATAAAAAAAGTATCTCCTTCAGAGAATGGCGGTGGGGGTAGAGAGAGAGAGAGAGAGAGAGAGAGAGAGAGAGAGAGAGAGAAATATCATCCTGGTCTCCACACAGAGCTAAACAAATGTAAAGGGATTAGTGGGGATGAAGGAGGGTACAGTTCCTGTTCACCAGCTGTTACACATCCCGGACCTGAGAGAGAGAGAGAGACAGCTGAATCCGCTGATCCTGATGGAGCAGTGATTGGAGCTGGTGATACAGTGGCTGTAAGGTAAGTTCTTGGGCTCCAAGATTTAAAACATCAACTTCAGCATCTGTTTATTTTACTAACCAGTTATTATTTAATAAGAGCATATATTCACAAGTTATGGAACATCTTAAAGCAAAATCCTCTACTGTACTCCATTGAATCAATACAATTTAACCAATTTATTTGCAGATAAATGTAGAAAACAAAAATAAAATCTGGTAAACCTGTGGAACTTTACAGGTTTCAAATAATTAGCAAGAAGCTGCAAATGAAGAAATGTTAGTAATGTCTAGAATGATGAGCAGAGCTGTAGATGATTCCAAAATGACTGAAAAAAGCTATGTAACATTGAGAATAATATTCTAATAAAATTAATATGCAGAACGAATGCCTGAAATGATAATAACATTAATATCCGCAATGATGTTCTAATAATAATAAACTAATATCAACAACTATTTTAATAAAATAAATGCCCAGAATGTCTTATGTATTTAAAAGTAGTGATCAAATATTGAGGCGGATAATGGAAAATGACTGTAAATGATTATTTGTATCAAATTGTTTTTAATTTATCAATAATGAAAGATCATTTACATTGCTGCATTCAGTCTGAAGTTGATCTTTGAAGTGTATCAATTACGGAATGTTATAATAATTTATAATTATAGTAATATTTATGGCCCTTCCATGCCCCCCATGATCATTCAAACATAAAAATCTCTCTCTCAAAAAAAGATTTCTATATTGTTTTTATTGTCTATGTCACTGAAAATGTTTTGCTGATTTGACTTAAAAGTAAGTAACTGAGGTGCCTTAAAAAGTCTAATAGTAGTTAACAAAGCAACAATCTGTATCTTACATTCTGTCAGCTTATTATCTGAAGTTAAATAAACTCAATGATTTATATCAAAAAAATATTCCAAAATATGAGTATATTTTTAACTTATATAATAGAAGTTGTTTAAAGAATATAGGTTTGGAATGTTTGGATGATGTGGTTGGGTTTCAGTGACAAAATCTGCATAGACACATGCTCAAACATCTCAGAACAAAAGTATAAACTGCAGGTCTTTTCATGATTTCCCCTTTTCACTAATTTTTGTATTTATTTTTTTGTTATTTGTTTCTTTATTACATTTTTTCCGTTTTTCTATTAATTTATTTTATTAATTTATTCCCATAACTATTAATTTCTATATTTATTTATTTCTCTATTTATTTCTGTATTTCCTGGTTCTAATGCTAATAAGGGGCTGTCAATCAATGATGTCACGGTGTCTTAATATTCCTATTGGTTGATCGATATCAGATTCTGTAGATCGATTGTTCATGTCTTGCTCTATCAGCGGTAACTAAGGACAACACAGTACAGTAATGGCTGCTTACAGTCAGAGATCTGAGAGTCTCGGCTGATCTGGCTGAAAATGCAGGTTTGGATTGTTTACTCGTTTATATGAAGGCTGAGGGGACAGTTTGTTCCATTTTGCTGATCTGCTGATTCAGGTCGACCTGTAGTGTTCAGAACTCTGGAGGAGGAGGTTCATCATTTTTTCTGCAAAATTCAGATCATCCAGACATTCGGACGCCCTGCTCACATGCTGCCTGTGGAGCCATCGAAAGTTATTCATCGGCAGGTTTGTCTGTTCGTGACACTGCAGCTCTTTATGGAGTGAAAGAACAGTTTAATCAGCTCTTCTCCTCCTGGGCTTGATTACTAAGCCTGAACGTGAAAAACACGCCCCCTCATTATCATATGAACGAAGACATATAGAAATAAATAAATGAATGAATGAATAAATAAATAAGTAAATGAATGAATTAAAAAAATGAATACATGAATCGAACAATTGTTAAAAATATAGATATGGAAAAAATATACAAAAAATGGCATTAATAAAACAAAATAAATAATACAGAAATAAATAAATTGAGAAATATATAACTGCAGAAAAGGGAAATATGTGTATAATTACAGTCACAATAAGTAATATATACTTTATTTAGTTTTTTTAATTTATTGATCAATTTACTGAGCCATTTATTTTTAAATTTTATTTATTTTTCAATTTGGTAAATCTGATCCTCCATAGCTGTCATTATCACTGAAGAATGCATGATTAAATTTACAGGTAGCTGCTGATGATGATGAAGACGGTGATGAAGGCAGTGTTCCTGGGCTGTGTATGGGTGAGTGTGTGGCCCACTTGGTGTGTGTGTTTCTCACGTGGGGCAAATTCTGCTTCCTGTGTGGACATGAAACCTGGACACATCAGTGCTCAACCACAACACATACACATACAGTCTGCTGTGACCGTACACACCAGCCGGACTATCTACCTCCCACAACAGACACTTATGGGTAAGAACATGCACACACACACACATACACACACATACACAGTCTGTTATGAACACACAAAGCTGTGTAGCATACAGTATACATATTTAGGTGCCCCGGGTCATTACATGTTTTATTAACCAGAAATTAAATTGTCTTCCTGACTGGAGATCAAATAAATAAAAGGGTCTCTGACTTTTGCAGAGCACATTTGCATCACACGCTCACTGTACACACAGCATCTATATGCAGTGAACAGTGTGTGCAGTGCACGGTCACCCTGTCACCCTGTCCTGATCTCTCTCTCTCTCTCTGTCTCTGTGTGATTGCAGTGAGTGTGCGCAGTTCTCGGGCGTTTATGGGTTTGCTGCTGCAGGCGCGCTCCGTGCCGGAGGACCGTGTGGTCGGAGGAGAGTTCACACTGAATCCTCCGGGAACACACACCCTCTCCTGCATCTCCACCGCCGACACCGTAACACACTCTGACAAACTGCTGAAGAGAAACCTCTCATTCACCTGGAGAGCCCCGGCCCAGCCCAGCGGAGACATGAGATTCTAGTGAGACACACACACACTCATACAGTTGTATGTAAGTTTGAACACCCCTGTTCAAATGACGTTTTATTGATTTTCTAGGCGAACATTTAGCACATCCTCTACAGAGAACACACTTCTGCACGTTTGAATGCACAATTACTGTTTGCTAGCTGACTTTAACATAACGGTAAAACAATGAAACATATTTTATGTTGCAAGTTTTATTTTTTGAGCAAATGAGTAGAAACTGTACAATAAAAAGGAGCTATATGTAACTTTATATTCACTTAGAAAACTAACAACACGTAATTTGACTGGGGTGTGCAAACTTTTTCATACTGCTGTACATATAGAGGTGTACAGTAGCCTAAATTCATACACCAGGATAAACATTACTTTATATTAATTTTTCAACATTGGATTTAGGAAAATATGTGTTTAGCCATTCAAAAAACATCTCAAAACAATATCTCATTTTTATACAGTTTCTCTGTTACAATGACTTAAATGAGTAACAGAATTAAAAATATCTATTGAGTTTTTTAGCACAGATTTAACATGTGGTTAACCTGTATTCTAAAGGCATACATTCATTCATAAAGAAGTACATTTTAACGTTTTACTTGTTAATGAATGATTTACTTTTAGTCTATAATAAAAATAAACATACACGTTTATTAAATTATTATTCAATTATAAATTATTTAAAATTTATTTAAAATTCACATTTGATAAAATATCTAAAAACATCTCAGCGAATAGTTTATACTATTAAGTCCACACTGCATAAGTTATTACTGTATGTATAATATAGAAAATGTTAATATGGAAATTGAAATGTTTGAATGATGCGTTGAGATGGATGTTAGAAGCCAATATGTATTCATTTCTAATGTCTCCCACAAATGTATGCTCACTCTCTGCCCATTTGTCTGCAGTATCACAGTGGTCCACTCTTATTTCGTCTACTGGTCTCGGATCCGGTCAGCTGTTGTGCATGATGGGACTCGTAGGAGTGCAGGTTATGATGGTGGCCTGCAGACTAGAATCATCTCAGGTAATAATACTCTCCCCCATACACACACATACACACACACACACACACACACACACACACACACACACACAACAATATACTGAAAAGTGTTCTTTTCATCTTCTTTCTTTACAGCATCTCTGTTGAAACCAAAAGACACACAAACTCACACTTCTTCAGCTCTACACTTACTGAATAGTGCGCCGTCCTCAGCCATCTACACAAATAAAAGCTCCCCAAACACTGTACCACCCCAGCACACACACACAACACAGCTGAGCACCACTCATTCACAACCTGATATAGAAAAACCTTCTAAAGTGACACAGAACACACACAAGCTAGATAACAGCACATCAGAGACAAGTTCCAGTCTGCACTTCCATATTGCTTCACATACTAGTTCAGAGATCCTACATGAACACACCCAAACACACACTGGGCTGTTCAAACACTTTCATACACGTCCACACCCACACACAGTGTCAGATAAACACACTATGGCTCCACCCACCCCAACACACACTGAACCACAAGCACACATTCACAAACATACACTAAGACCACTACAGACACACAAGTACAAAACAACACCAAGCACAAACACACAAGGCATGACTTCCCACACACACAGGTCACCTTTAGTGACCCCTCACACTCATACAACACACACACAGCAGAACAGTGTGACTACAGCAAGGCCTCACATACTAACCTCTCCTCTCACAGCATACACACATGTGGTCACTATGCCGACCGCGTACACTCCAACACACACACACTATGGACCTGCGTCTTCACCACACCCAGTCGCACACCTTTCCCCACATAGACAAGTCATCACTGTTCCCTCCACCCGCAGACAAGACTCACATTTACATTCATCCACTGCAATATCCACAACCTCAAGCTTAAACCCCCTCTCAATCCCAACCTCAACTACAATATCAATTTCAATCTCAACTTCAATCCCAAATTCAATCACAACCTTAACCCCAGCCTCAATCTTAATCCCAACCTCAACCCTAATCTCAACACCAACCCCAGCCTCAATCTTAATCCCAACCTCAATTCCACTCTCAACACCAACCCCAGCCTTAATCTTAATCCCAACCTCAACCCCAGTCTCAACACCAACCCCAGCTTCAATCTTAATCCCAACCTCAACCCTAATCTCAACACCAACCCCAGCCTCAATCCTAATCCCAACCTCAACCCTAATCTCAACACTAACCCCAGCCTCAATCTTAATCCCAACCTCAACCCTAATCTCAACACCAACCCCAGCCTCAATCTTAATCCCAACCTCAATTCCAGTCTCAACACCAACCCCAGCCTCAATCCTAATCCCAACCTCAAACCCACTCTCAACACCAACCCTAGCCTCAATCTTAATCCCAAACTCAACCCCAATCTCAGGACAACACCCAGCCTCAATCTTAATTCCATCCTCAACTCCAGCCTCAATCTTAGTCCTGACCTCAAACCCACTCTCAACACCAACCCCACCCTCAATACCAACTGATCTTAATCAAATCTTAATACCAACCACAAACCTAACCATAATCCCAATACCAACTCTAACCTCAAATTCAATCTTAGTACCTACCCCAACATCTATTTCCCCAACGCCACCAATCATCTCAATTCTAACCCCAACCCCAATCCCAAACTCAACTCTAATACCAATCTCAATATCATCTTCAATCCCAACTCCAACCTCAATTTCAACCTTAATGCCAACCAAAACCTCAATCCTAACCCTATCTGAAACCGCAACCCCAACCTCAATTCCATATTTCACTTTAATCCCAACCCCAATGCCAGTTTTAACTTCAATCCCAACCCCATCCTCAACTGCAATTCCAATCCAAACCCTAAAATCAATTCCTACACACATGCTCACTCCTACCCCATTACACACCTCTACTCTTCCTTCATCCCCCCATCCTGACCCATCTCCAGCCCTCCAGCGCTCTCTCTCCAACCCCCTCCCACCCAGGGAGTCCCGGGATGAATCTGACTCTCACGCCCAGAGAGAAGAGGGATCCTCTGAGCCCAAACCCCCTCAGAGGCCCAGGGGACCGCCAAGAGCTCCAGATGGTAAAGGGGAGAAGCCGGAGCTGGTGCCCAGGCAGAATGCTTCAGAGCTTGGCTTGCTGCTGGTGGGCGTGTCTGCTGGTCTGGGAATGGCTGCGGCTGTGGGCTTGAGGTACCTGCAGAGGAAACACTGCCGCAGACACACAGCCGTGTCACTGGGTGACCGGAGCCACGGCAACAGAGGTGTAATTCATGTGCAGGAGTGTGGAGACCTGGTGCAGGTGCGCAGGATCAGAGAGAACAGCTTCTTACTGCTGCAGGCTGAGTATAACCTCATCACTGCGCCGGGGAGCTAGGACACACACACACACACACACACACACACACACACACACACACAAACGTAGTGCCTCTTAATCACAGCACTGTGGATTTAGATCACACAGTCATATCCAAAAGTTTTGGTGCCACTGGTCAAGTTACGTTTGTTGATGTTGTAAGTGTAAATAAGTTAACACATCCTCTACAGAGAACACACTTCTGCACTTGAATGCACATTTGCAAAAAACGTACAACGTGGCTCATGCCAAAGTTATGGCACCTTTTACATTATATATTTTTCCCCCAGTAAGTTAAACTCTGCAAATAAACTGTTCTGAATTTTGCAGAAAAAGTCCATATATTAGTTCCCTGTAGAGATTATAATAACTATAAAAATTTTTCATTCAGAAATTCAAAACTGTGATTAGACAAAGGGCGTTCAGTCTTTTGCATAAAACTGTACATATACCTAATGTTTCTCTATCTTTATATAATGCTGAGGCTTTAGTTCTCACAAACACACACCCATAGTATCAGTCTTTCTCTAAGTATCATGGCACTAGGGAGCCACATCACGTGTAGTCATCTTATGTGTGTACATGCATGCATAGACACAAAAATAGAGGATAATATAAAATAAATAACTTTCTAAATAATGCTCATATTGTTTGAGTGCTTAGCATAGAAACTGCAATGAATGTTTTATTTCTTTGAACCTTGTACTTTTCAATAACATGTGAAGACTAACCGAAGACTACCTAAGTCACTTCCTGCAGATGAGTTTTTGCTGTGCAGAAACAACACTTGGGCCAATAAAGTGTTTTGGATAAAGAGCTGTGAGTCAGTGCAGTGTTTCAATGCAGTATGGTTGTGCTTAATTAATATATTAAAATAATATAATTTTCTATATATGTATGTATGTATGTATATATATATATACATCATTTAGGGACTTCTTGTAACATCTGGATTAACCTTTTAGTCTACAGACCTACTTTTAGCACAATCTCTTTAACGTTTAATGACTTTACAACTAAACATCAACATGCTTCAACGCTGACTGTCAAAAGTTTTGGGACCCCTAGCTTTTCAAACTGTTCTTAATTAACATTAATGTGTTTTCAACTGTCAATTTGAAATAACTTGCAATATTAAATAAAACATCTAAAACATTAAATACGCCACTTTTTTAGTGGAGCACAGTATCACATGCACATAGTAGTGACAGTGCCACCTTGTGAATAATGCCAAACCCTACAAGATGTATCTTCTTATAGTGATGTCAGCACTCATCAGCACTCTTCCAGATGTTTAAACCTCCTTTGAGCCAAAAGAGTTGCTTTCAAGAATAGTTTGGAAAACTGTCAAATCATTAATTGGGCTAAACCTGCTTTTTCCGTCCACTTGTTGACCGTGATGAACGTGTAGGTAAGTTTTGAAGATAAATATACTCGAAGGGTTAGTAGCTGCTTTATTGTAACATCTTTTTCTTGAGTAATTGAAAAGTAACAGTGAGAAAACTCCTTTTCCAAAAGAAGGGAAGACATCGCCTTCTATTTTGATGAGCTTGGAAATACATTATCACCAATGTCAGTCCAAAATATCAAGATATGCTCAAGCAGCCACTCTTAGGACTAGGATTTAATACATCTCTCTGGTGCTTTATTGTCTGTAAGCAACATGGCAGTACAGTGGAAAGCAGGACACCTTCCAAACCTGATGTTCAGCACAGTGACCAAGAGTGGACATGAACTCACCACACGTCCTCCAATCTGCTGTATGAAGCAGAATTACTGCATCGATGACATACAAAACATACAGAAACAAATAATGTCTGTAATGATACTGATACCAAAATGATCCAGATCACTCTGATGCAAGTTGAGTTTTGCACAAAATACTTTTGATAGAAACAAAATGATGAATTCAAGGCATTGTTAAAAAAATTCAAATAAAAGAAAAGGAACTACAGATACATTTTAAACAACGAAAATGAAACTGTTTTAGAAAATCTGGTCTCTTGTTGAGCCATGTTGTGGAAAACATTAAATGCTTCATATAAAAATAAAGATATACATTCACATTTCTGTTAAAAATGTTAATGGAATCATATCAAGTTCTTCTGTGTAATAATATCCCTGTAGAGAGGCCGGCTGGAGTAGCCGCCTGAGGTCCCACTGCATTTCAATAAGGCACTTTGATCCAACTTTTCCTTCCACCAGGAGGAAGTTCCTCTTCCCTAATCAAGATCTTCAGAACCACAGCCGGGTCCGGTTGGTTCCGGTTGGGTCCGGTTTGGTTCAGTCTGTCTGACTTTGGTCATGGCTCTCCAAAGATTTCAGATGGGCTGTAGATTGGTCAGTTTCAGTGCCTGCAGAGTAACAATAGATTGTGATTACGACAGAAGCAAAATGACAGATTTTCTAGAATGATGATGCTGTTAACTTCGTAACCCCTTAAACTGCAGACTTATCATTTGGTTTTTAAGCTTAAGGCTTATTATTCAGGACCTACTATGAATTATTCAGAAACTCCTACAAATTAACCAGAAACTACCATTAATTATTTATTAACTTCTACAAACTATGCAGTACCTACTATAAATAATTTGCTAATTAATATTTTTTTTCAGTAATTCTTAAAACCACCAAAAAGGTTTCTTTGGAGAAGTGCTATAGAACAGGGCTGCACAAAGTGTAACCCACAGGCCATGTTTGTCCCATAAAGACATTTGTTTAGGGTATCCATAAAGTCCTAACTACACACACCAATGAATGGCTTTTCCTAGGACCATATGCCCAGGCCAAGAACCATTTAGGAATCTATTTTCTAAAAGTGTGCTACGAAACTAATGTGAAAGGTATGTGGTTATAAGAGTGAGCAACTGAAGTCTGGACCCATATATAAGACCTTTAAGTTTAGGTTTAAGAGGTTTAAATAAAAGTTCAGTGTAATGTATCATACCTGGGACGTGTTAGATTAGTTATCACTGCATCGTTTTTTCTACGTTAAAATAGTAGAATAATTCCTAAAGTGCCATACCTCATTATGCGAGAGTGCTGATCTATGTGGACAAAGAGAAGCTGATGGTGGATCAGCTCTCCCACTCTGAGATACCTGAAACATTTTTGGTTTGGTTCATTACGCTGGTAAACGTTGTCTTTACTTCTCTACTTAACACCTTATCACTTAGGGTTAAGCTAAGGTTTAGGCTTTTTATAGATATATAAAGGGTCCCTGGAAAGGGTGTCTAAATGTGCCTCAATCTGTTTACTGTTGACTGAAACTGGATTTTTTTTAAAACAGTGACATTTCTTATTCCTGCAGGAAATAAAAAAAAAGATGGCAGGAAATAAAGAAATACATTTTTGACAGAAGTTCTTCTGACTGTAAGAAGGACCTCAGTGGCTACAAGTATTAAAATAAATGAAATATTATACTGCAAATATCAAACTTGAGAGTGCAGTGACGCCAACCATGACCCCACAAAATGTGTGAAAATTTTAACCCAACTAAATCTTAATATTACACTAATTTCCAGACAAAATGGTGCAACAGGGAGAGTGATATGAGATATGTGGTTTAGAGTTCTGAAATCTGGTTTGGAAATCCAGAACACTTTGCACTTACTGACTGGGACTTGCAGGCAGAGGAGGGAAGGGCATGCAGGCCTAGCGCACTAAGATACCAGACTGAGAGAGAGACGAAGGGGGGGGGGTGGTTAGAAGGGTAACAGATGGAAAAGCAAGAGCAAAACCGGCAAGGCAAACTGGACTGATCAGGTCAGAGATGTACAGTACTCAAAAGTAATCTTGGGACAATCCTATCATCGTTTGTTTTTTAGAATGATTTAATTTCTTAATGTATTGTGGAAATGTGCTTTAACATATTCAAAAGTACATAATATCAGCTATATTATGATTTATCAATCAATACTTGGAGCCCAACTGAGCAACAAGCTGGAAAACTTTCACCTAATTCCCAAATTATTTCAAAACAAATGTTGAGATACTAACATGAATACATGTACAAACCAGAGATACCATCCAACACACCTGACTCTTAATTTCATTAACATTCAGAAAGACAGAGCAAGACAGAACTCAGAACTCTTAAACACTTAAAACAGTTCAATGAACTCAAAATCAAGAGTGAAAAATGTACTGAAGTTGTGGAAAGAGACAGGAAAGAGACAAAACCTGCCAGATCATTCAAAAGAAAACATCCAGCAAACAGGACTGATTATCAGTAATGCAGTCATGAGCTCCATGCCTAAAAGACTTCAAGCTTTCATGCAAGAGACGAAATATGCAACGAAATATTAAATACTGACCTGCATTATCAAAAGAGAGAATGATGTTTGCCCTGCTAGTGTCTCAGTACTCTCACTTTTATTTATATATATATATATATATATATATATATATATATATATATATATATATATATATATATATAAATATATAAAATATGAATTGTATTCAAAGTCCAGGACTACCTGTGAGCACTGTATGTTTGTATTTGAATCTGCTATCTTATTACAAACACCCCTTGTACTACCACTCACAGGCCACTTTATTACAAACACCTACCTCATAGGTGCACTATACACTGTAGCCCATCTGTTGCTGCGCAATTCATCATCAACCCTCCAGCCCATTCTCCACTGGTCAGTTTCTGACCACAGTACGACTGTTGCACAGATATTACGTGGGTGGTGGTGCATTCTCAGCACAGCACTGACACTTACATGGTACTTTGTGTGGTGCTGGTATGAGTGTCAGTGGTGTTACTGGGATTTTAACACATGTGAGTGTCACTGCTAGGTTGAGAGTGAATCACCCAAAAATATCCAGCCAAGAACAGTGCTTTGGTCAGAAACTGACCATTGATGAATGGCCATCCTGTAGCCTAGTGGTTGCCAGTCCCGGGCCTGGAGCAGCCCTGCCCTGCACCTTTTCAGCATTTTCCTCTAACAAACTCAGGGCATGTTAATTAGCTGTTTAGCTGGACTATGTGCGGTAGAGCAGTAAATAC